CTTTTCATTTCGACTTTGACCTCCAAAGTCGAAACATTTCGACTTTTGGGTTTTCATTTCGACTTCATGTATATTCAGGATCACTGTTTTTGAGTTCTGCCTCCAGAGGAGTGATGACTTGAAATTGCAGGGAATCTTCAACTGCTTTAACTCTCATGATGGTGAAATTCAAATTTTTTATCAATTCGCACATGTTACTGTTGAGATCTGAAAATTGTTGTCTGACAAAGGATTTAAAATCTTCATCATTATTTGCGTGCATTGAGTCCCCTTTTTTAGTACCATTATGGACTTCATTAGGGAAGGTATAGTAGTTCTGATTATGGTGAGAGGTATTATATAAGTCATCAGGTATATCATCAGACCATGACGATAGTAGTGGCTCTGATGCATTTTGTTTGTCAGGATTCTTTTGGTATTCAGGAGGAGGTTTATCATTAAGTTTTTGTTGTTGATTCGTTTTGTTTTTTTCAGATTCCAAATTTTTAGTCACGTAAGCGAAGGTGACATTTTAGGCTCACTGCACCTTTGATGCCTTTCATGGGAGCTTTGTAGTTACTGTATTGTATGAGCTGGAATCGCTGGTAAAGTTGTTGCATATTGCGGTCTGAAAGTGACTTACATTTTCTAGGGCAGTCATTCACTTTATGGTTAGGTGAAGAGCAGATAGCACATAGTTTAGTAGAATATAATTACCTTCCCTAACGATATCAATAATGATACTAAGAAAGGAAACTCAATGCACGCGAATAATGATGAGGACTTTAAGTCCTTTGTCAGACAACAATTTTCAGCTCTAAATGAAAATATGTGTGAATTGATGAAGAACTTAAACTTTACCATCACGAGAGTCAAAGCAGTTGAAGATTCCCTTTAATTTAAAGTCGTCACTCCTCTTGAAACGGATATTAAAAACTCAGATCTTGAGATCATGGATTTTGATGAAGTTGAACCCTCTGTTGATACATCAGCATCCATTATCATTCAACAATGAAAAATGATTGAAGGCCTTAGAAACCTTAACGAAATGCATCAACACAGATTGAAATCTTTCACAACTACGGTTAACACCTTAGTATAATCATGTGCTACATTTCAGTCCATCCTCATACAGAACGATATGCTCCCCAAGGACTTAGCTAATACATTATTTTCACTCAGAGATGCTTTCGATAGTGATGTCAGAAACTATCTCTCAAGGAATTACCATCCTTCTAAATCCATTCCTAATGAATACTGTCCCTACAAATAATTTTACACAAGATGTATATCTTAACATAAATAATGACCTTCCTTCTCCCCCTCCACTTATTTTTTTCACAACACAAAATGTTCGTTTTTTTACTAACGCTGCTAAACAAAACTCACTTATTGAATTTTATTCCTCTTTGAAATTAGATATCATTGGTCTTCAAGAAATTAATTTTTCTCAATCTTCAATCTGATCCTTTAACAGCACATTTCATCAACATATACAGGCTTCTTTGGATTGCCCCCAGATTCTCACAGTCAAAAAACTGGCTTCAGTGTTAGATTATTGGTCCGTTCTTATTTGGCAAATCATATTTTTCATCACGAAACCAAACACAACCATATTATAATCGTTGATTTGCAATTCAGTAACAAACAAAAACTGAGAATTATTAATTGCTACCTCCTACCGGGCAACCTCACTCGTAGAAAATCCATACAAACTGAGCTTATTAGATACATTAGAAAGGCGATCTCAAATAATTATCACCTGATGCTCCTTGGAGATTTTAATATAGACATGGATAATCCTAAGTTACATTCATATGATAAAAATTTCTTCTCCCGACTCGACAATTTGCATCTTTTTGACATGTTTTCAGTTAAATATGATCACTCTCGAAGTAATTATCCTACTCATCATAGTCTTCTGTCAAAGTCACAAATTGATTACATTTGGTCTTCAGCTAAAGTGGTTTCTAATTTTACGTGTTGTGAAGTCTTAGATGTTGACCCAATTTTATCTGACTATTCACTGGTCATCTTCAGTGTTGAAAATTTCTTGGATATCAGGAATAACAAAAGGAATATTCCTTCGAAAAAGATCTATGATTATGATAAGATGACTGATGACAAATAGGAAACCTTTAGCAATAAAGTAGATGCTCTGGCTAATGGATGCTACTTGAGGAGCCTCACCAATAAATCCTCATTCAACCAGCATAAACTGAATCGATACTAGGACCTTCTGCAAGAATGCATTATAAAAGCAGCAGATTCTAAGATTTCTTCACATTAATCCAAAAGACATCATTCAATGAAAAGACCTCCACTTTTATCTAAATTATATAAGAGAATAAAATTTTTATATAACTTCAAAAAATTGGTTAGAGATATTCTAACTAATTCTGAGTTCAGCATTCCTTATGTCTGTCTACCTCATATTCTATCAGTCCTCATCACACAATCAATACAGTTTTATATTGACCTCTTGCTGTGCCGCTTATTAGTGGAAGCCAAGCTACATGAACAGGATTTCAAGTTTAAATCAATTCAAATAGCCATTGAAAAGAGATTGGAGAACTATCAACTTTCTCCTGCTCATATGACGGATTCTCTTCTGAACTGACATAAGCGAACAATTACGATTGATTGTTGCTTACAGAATGCTTCTTCATCATGTGACTTGTTAACTAACGATCATGAGGTTAAAAAAGAAGTTGCTCATCATTTCCAAATGGTGGTAGGCACTTTCCACGAATATGTACCTTTAGATGATGAATGGCTTCCTTTTTATCAACCATTAGAGAACGTTGACGCGTCTATTTATAATAACTTAATAGATCCATCCTCAGCGAATGAATGGTATGACCTAATTGCTCATCTCTCAAACGGAAAAACTCCAGATCCATCCAAAGTATCTAACGAGATGCTAAAACACCTTGGCCCAACTACTAGAAAAATGCTTTGGTATATTATTTGTGGATGTTTAGCCCTTTCATCAGTGCCTTATCGCTGGAATCATGTGTTTATTTATCTGATTCCCAAACCTAAACTGTGGGAGTATGACTTAAATACACTAGTCGAAATCATTTCATTCAGCATTAATACCATTCGGTTAACATTCAGCCGATTCGGTCATGTGATTTGGCAAAATTCGGCTTAAGTTACAAAAATTGATAGTCATTTGTTACATCACACATAATTTAGCACTATTTTGGCATTAGACCTTTTGGTAAACATTCAGCCAATTCGGTTATGTGATTCAGCAAAAATTTGGCTTAAGTTACAAAAAT